CCCCCAGGGGTGGGAAGCCCCACAGCACCAGTCTGTCCTCACTTCCCTTCTCTGTGAGCGGCTTCAGCCCTCCCTCCAGGCCTGAATCCTGGCCTCCCTGTGGCCCTCACCTGTGGTCAGACACTAGGGCACATCTCTGCCCCCGACCCCGGTGGCTGGTCTGAGTGAACTTCCCACCCCCTTCAGACTGAGCCAGGAGATCACACAGCCTCGGAACGCTACCTGCACCTCCCTGAGGTTCCCCGTGCAGCCGACAGAGTGGCACCGCAGGCCCCATTCTCTTCTCTTGCCGTCTCCCCCTCACTCCGCGACCAGGCACCTCTCCAAGGCATCTCACTGCCTCCTTCCGCCCACCTCTCACACCTGGACCACCTGGCCTCACAGGTCCCCTGGGACTCATGCCCTCACTGCCCATCACCCCACCTGCAGCCCTCGGCAGCCTCCCCAGGGCCCAGGCCGGAACATGAGTGAGGTCAGGGGGGCATGTGTGGCCCCCATCACCATGCCCCACTTTCCCCAGCAGACAGACTTTCTAGAACTCCTAGAACCTTAACCTACTGGTAGGGCAGCAGGCCCACCTGGGAGTGGCCACCTGCTGCCACCCAGGGTTTCCAGATGCTTGAATGCTGGTGAGTAACTGAAAATTGTTTAGCAAACAAAAATACTCATCAGGCCAAAAGATCTGGAACACCCCTACGGGCCACCTCAGGGCTGTCACCCTCGGTCAGGCCGCCAAGCCAGCCCTCGTCCTCCGGATGGGCGCAAGCTCCCACCCTGGCCTTTCTTCAGGAACATCCTTCCAGGTCTGTTGCCAGGGCCCGGTGAAAACAGCACCTCCCCCAGGAAGCCTTCCCAGCCTAGTCATTTCCCTCTGTATAACTGTCCTCTCACAACAGAACGGGTTCACCAAGCACAGGCTACACTGCAGACCCCAGGTGCGGGAGGCCACAGGCAACCACCTGGAGAGACAAGCTCCCGGGGCAGGCTGCCGAGTCAGACTCCAGCCCCACCCCTCTGCCCTAGTGCGTCCTGTGAGGTGCCCACAGGGCCAGGGTCCTCAGTGAAGGGCCGCAGCACTGGCTGGGCCGGTCAGAGCCCCACACCAGGGCTCAGATATGCACAGCGCCCTGTTGCACAGCTAGGGTAGCAGGGCCGGGACTCGCTAGGCGGCCCGACTCCAAGGAGGTTTCTGTCCGTCTCCCTTAGGACTGTGGTACTTGTCTGCTGTACCTCCCATCATTACAGATGAGTCCTGCATCCCTGGGGAGGAGGGGCCCCGCCCCCAGCAGACTGAGAGCCCTGAGCTCCACTCCCAGAGGGCAGGGACCAGCTCCTGGCACAGACCCGCACACAGCAGCCCCAGGAACCCATCCCTTCCTGCCCTGCCTGCACTTCAAGGCTGGGACCACGCCTGATGCCTCCCTGGGTCGTCCCCTGCATCACCTGTCACGAGGCCACCCCGGACTCCCCGTTCCCACCAGAGAGAAGCCAGTGTTCTGGCAGCACAAAGGCCAGGCGCAGACAGAAGCAGGAAGCCCACGGCTCTCTGTGGCCCAGCAACAGGGCTACCGACCCGGCAGTGGCACAGCTCCCCTGCCTGCCCTTGGCCAGCCAGCTGCGAAAGCCACACCTGAAGTGAGGAGCAGGCTCTTGGAGTCCCCTGAGCCAGTCAGCAGCCCAACCCAGCCCAATGACCGACACCTAAAAGGCCTCAGCAGAGCAGCCCATCTCCCCAGACCCCAGCCTCCGCCAGAAGAAACGGGACAACAGAGCTGGTGGCACCACGGTCAAGGGCCATGCCCCGGAACCACAGGCAGCCGGCACTCTGACACCGTGTGATGCCTGGGCTCCGTCCCAGGCCCTTCAGATGGGGGAACCACCACCACCCAGGACCTCTGACAGCCTACGACAGTGAGCACCAGGCAGGAGCCTGCCCAGTGCTCGGCAAGCGAGTGTGGTCACATCTGCAGTCCACCTCCAGCAGGACACCCTGGGTAGCGCCCAGGAGGAACAAGCGAGGCTAGGGGCCTGTGTGACAACCACGTGGCCAGACCTTCACCACGGCCCACCCACAGCTCACCACTGTCCTCCTAGAGTCCAAGGTTCTCCTAGCCCATTCCTCAGTCCTTAGAGTCTCAGGAAAACCCACTTCCCCCAAACATCCTTCCCTGGCCCTGACCACGGTGAGGCAGGAAAGCACAAAGCTGGGAAAATTCCTTGGCAAGTGGAATGGGGAAACTGAGACCAGCAGCTGATTGGAACTGGCCTCTCCCACCACCCTGATCCCCCTCCCCCCTCCCCTCTGGAAAGACCACTCCCGTTGGCACCAAGCCCTCAGGACAACAATGTTCTGGCCCGCATCAAATAACCTTAGGAACAGAGCCAGCGTTTTGGTCACACTAGAGACAACGCGGAGGCCTCCACTGTGTTTCAGCTCCAGGCCCAGGAAAGCAGCAAGTCCAGGGGAAGCGGCACCGTGGCTGCATCAGGACCAGTGCATCGACCAGGGACTGCCACCCCAGTGCCAGCCAATCAGTGGAGCCCACGGCCCTACAGGACACACACCCTGATACGGACAGCTAACGAACATTCTACTGAGATCCCCCTCCCCTGAGACCTTCCCTGAAGTCCCCGCCTTTAGAAAACAGATAAAAACCATTAAGGCAGAAGAACTACCCCTGCCCCCCGCACAGCTCCCACTCAAGAGCACACCTGTGACTTCGGCCCCTCTTCTTTCCTAAGGTGGGTGCTTTTGCTTTCGTTCTCCAAAGGCCCTCCTTCTGCCTCAGGAACTAGTTTCCCGAGTCCACACAGCCCCACTGGCTCACTTCTTCTGCCTCTTCCCCATGTTTCCGAAGGGCCAAGGCAGCCCCGCCTAGGCTGACTCCTGTTAATGCTTCTTTCTTAAGCTCTTCCTTCATTTCACTGTCCCCGCCTTTAATAAACGTACTCTCAAAATCACCTGGACCTGGGTTGTGAAATCTTTCCTGCGCTGAGAGCCCACATCGCCCCTAACATCAGCACCCTGCCTCCCCTCCCCACTTCCACAGCTCCAGGGGGACTATTCTGCATAACCCCCAACCCCTCTGCCTGGTGCTTCTGTGCTCATGTCTCCCCACAGGGTTCTGAGCTGCTCCAGAACAGAACTGACACCCAGCATCACCCAGCTCTGGGTCTGGCCCATGGGAGCCTGGAGAAATGGGTGCCAACTAACCTCTTCTCCCACCCAGAGCAGGGGGTTCTGCCCATGTGCCCAGCACAGGGCGGGAATGTGCGGCAGGCTGATAGACAAGGCTTATCCAGGGAAGAGTGGGCTCTGCTCTCCACCTTTGGGGACGAAGAGGAAACAGCCTGGGAAAGAGGAAGGGACAGGTCTAAGGTCATGGGGCTGGAAGAGAGTGAGCCAAGGACAGCCTAAGAACACCTGGCTCCAGAGCCCTTTGCACACTCTACAACCACCTCTCTGGCTCTAAAAGGCAAGTATACCAAGGTCAACGCCATTATTATCCGTTTTATCCGGGTGGAAACCCAAGTTAATTACCTAAGGTCACAAAGGTCTGACTGGTGGAGTTGGGATTCAAACCCAGGTCTGTCTGACCCCAAAGCAGGGGCCCAGGACCATGATAAATCCTTCCTGCAGTGCCCGGGTGGGGGGCTAGCCTGTAAGGCTTCCGGGAGGAAAGGACGAAGATATAAGGCCGGGAGGAATCTGATCTGAATCCTCCCTGAGGCTGAGACAGAGGGAACCAAGGGGAGGCCAATACCCGCAGCCGCTGAAGGCCAGCTGCATTTAGCAAAGAGGCTTACAGACTTAGGGAGAAGATAAGCCGGGATCAACAGCACCTGTGCTTCTCGAGCCAGGCCAGTTCTGCCTCCCAGCTGGGTCCTTGGCATTACCCAACCTGGAGCCTGACACCAGGAAACACAGGAAAACCCCGGCCAAGTCACTCCCTTCCTAAAAGTCGGACCGCCCCGCTAAGCTGGGCTAGGCTGGGCTAGGCTGAGCTTTGGGCTACCCTGGCCCCTTGGACCTCTCCATGAAGCCTCTGGTCAGCGGGTGAGACTCTGCCCAGGTCTACGTCTCTGCTCCAGGCCCTGTCCTTCGTCCCCGCACTGGAGGAGCCTGCGTCCACACTGCCTGTCGACTCTCAAACCCCTGGGTTATGTTTCTGGCTGATTGCGCGATCCTGGGCTTGCAAAATCGCGCAGATCTGAGGAACGCTCAACTCTACAGACTGGAGTGTCCTCCTTTGTGCCCCGGAGTGGGGGACACAGTGGGGGGGATGCAAGCCTCAGGGGTAACCAGCAGGCCCGACCGCCGTCTTCGCCCTGCACCTGGACCACATGGGATCTGACCTTGGCCTAACCACTCCTCCACCCCCCCGGCGCACGCGCCTCCTACGCCCGCGCGCTCAGGACGAATGAATGGGCCTCCGCCGGCCGAAACACCCTCAATTACGGCCGGAATCAAAGGCCGCACACGGCCCGCCCGGGGCATCAACGGGTCTGGGTGCTTTGAAAAGGGGAAGGGGTGGGGGACAGACTTCCGGTCAAGCGGGACCGGCCAGCGCGACGCCCACCCCCAACCAGACCCTCAACTTCCCCCAGAGTCTCCACCACTTCCGGCCACTACCAGCCAGGAAGGCCAGGGGGGACGCGGCGACCCCACCCAGTGCTGAGCCCTAGAGCTGAGCCCCAGGGCAGAGTCCCGAATGCTGCGCACGCGCCCTCCTACCGGGCGCGCTACCCCCTCAGCGCGACCGCGCACCCGCATTCCCCGCCGCGCACGCGCTACCCCGCGGCGCGCACCCGCCCGCCCCGCCCCGCTTGGCCGGCCGCGCGCCCTCACGCCCCCCCACCCCCAGCAGCGCGCACGCGCACTCACCGCCCAGTCGCGCTCGTCGCCCGCCTCCCCGCCTGCCCCCCGCCCGCAGCCTGGCTCCCGAGGCGCGCCCCCCGGCCCTGGACGCACGCCCTCCGCTCCCGCGCCCGCCCCTCACCTCCTAGGTCCCGGGGCCGCCGTGCCGCACTTCTTCTCCTCTCTCCTCCCTCGCGGATGGTGGCAGCGGCGGCAGCGGCGACTCAGACCCTGGGGTCAGGGGGACGGGCACCCAGGCCGGAAGTGACCTTCCTGGCCGCTTCCGCCCGCGCCGCTTCCCCCCCTCCCCCCACCCCCTCCGGCCGCCACCCCGTTCCAGTCGCTCTAGGATGGTGAGCCCGCGACCCTCCCCCCCCCCCGGCCACCGCCCCCCCTCCGGCTTGACGGTGCGGAGTCGGCGCTCAGGAAACCACTTCCGGGCACGTCTAGGATGCGGGTCCTCCGGGCGCGCTCTATGGCGCGGTGCGCCGAAGGGCTGCGGCCCCGCCCCCCCCGGGCCGGAGGCGCGGGCTGGGCCCGTTAGGCGGAGACTTCCGGTGTGTAGAGCCTTGCCCCCCTCGCCGGGAGCGGGGCTCCCGCGCCTGCGCAGTCCGCTCCCCGGGCCAGCGGCGGGCGGGAGGTTCGCAGCGAGTGCCCAGGGCCGCTCGTGCCGCCCCAGGTCCTCCAGTGTTCCTCTCTATCATCATAACCCCTTCCCTGCCGATGTTCCTCGCAGTGACCGACGCCCGCGTGCTGAAGGGGACTGCCTCTTCGACCCTGGTCCTTTCGAGAATGGACAGAGCGTGCTGGCCTTAGATGCCTTTTGTGTCCACGTCTACCTCTCAGCCTCAGTTTCTCCACTCTGGAGTAATAACACTGCGAGCGTCCAAGGGCTTTGCATGCATAAATTCCTATTAATAACCTCTAATTTGTCCCCACTTTGCAGCTAAGGAAGGACAGACAGGTCAAGGCACTTGCAGAATGTCACAGGCCGATAATGCAGAGACCAGGCTTGAACCTGGGAGTCCGGCTGCCAATGCTCACATTTAACTGTGGCTAATCAGACTGCCACCTAGAATAATAGAATATTGGTCACAGCCACTAGGATTCATCCCCTTGCCCCATGCAAAGCAGGCAACTAGTGAGCACTGGCTGAATGTTTGCCAATCTTGTTAGCATACTTCTATACAATGTATTTTAAAATTGTTTGCACCAGAGTGTCCTTGCAGGCTGGTCCCTGTAGTCCCTTCTGTGTTTTGTACTGGGATGGCTCTCACCTAAGCGCCTGATGATTTGATCTATTACTATTTATAACCATTTTATTGCCACAAAAGTCACCAAGCTTGGGAGTAGGAAAGGGGATGTACAATTCACTTGGATAACACCTTTCAAAGCCTTGATTTAGCAAAATGTTCTGTGTAAGTGTGCTTATTTCCATTCTAGGCTCATAGTAAGGTCTCACTGAAAATGCTCATTAGGAGTATTATTTCTACTCCTGTAGATGCTATATACCCCAAATTCTCCATCAGCATCAATCATAAGATATGCACTGTTGAGTGAATAACATCTTCCAGGAGAGAGAAAAAAACAGGAATGTATTAACGATACATGGGAGTACAGCAAGGTATATCTGTCTCACCTTTGGAAAGGTCACAAGGTAAATGTTTCAATGTGTCTCAGAAGAGAGGGATGGTGCTGTGAGAATAACAGTCAACACAGATTATTAGCATGGACCCGAAGTTTGCACTGTGCAACCTGTGAGTACAAAATGCCACACGCCTGCGCTCCTCTGAATCATATCATCGACAAGGTGCCTGCAGTGGCCCGGTAGTGGGAGGGCACAGCTTCCACCCTCGCCTTCCTGTGCCCCCTCCTGAATGGTTAAATTGAGGACCTACAGGTGAAATCTTGAATCATGAGATGGAAGTCAGTGGACTGACAAGCTACAAGGAACAAGATAGGCCCTTGCTGGCTTCTGTGTCAACTGAGATGTGACATGAGAGATGACTTTCTGATTAAAATCATGGGTCATTCAGCCCCGGATGGGTAGCTCCATTGGTTAGAACATTGTCCTGATATGCCAAGGTTGTGTGTTCCATCCCCGGTCAGGGCACATACAAGAAGCAACCTATGAATGCATAAGTAAGTGGAAAAACAAATTGCTCTCTCCCCTCCCTCCCTCTCTCAAAATCAATAAGTGAAAAAAATTACTTTAAAAAAATCATGGGTCATTCAGAATCTCTCTTCAGACAGCCAAATCGATGTTGAGATGTTTCCCAGGCACAGGAAGGGGTTGCCGTAGAGATGCCTAATTCACCACCAAAACTTGTCCTTTCTTTCCAACGGGTGGAATTAATAACTCCTGGAATGTGGCTCCCACCCAGGGGCTGCACTGAGCGTGGCCTTGTGATTGCTTCTCACTAGCTAGGAACCAGAAATGTGACCATGTGGGCACCTTGATCTCGGACTTCCAGCTACCAAAACTGTGAGCATTAAATCTCTGTTGTTTATAATCCACCCAGGCAGTGGCATTTTGTTATATCAGCCACAACAGACTAAGACATGGGTGTTTTTCTTCAGGAAGCTTCCCCTGCACTAGGCAGCAAAAAACAATGCTAGACTCCCCTTTGGAGATTCAACAGCATCTGGACAGAATTGAAAGCCACAAGATTGTGGAAGATCATGGGGGAAGAGAGAGAGAATGGAACACGAGTATGGAGAGAAGCAGTTCTATCTGTGGTCATCTGTGGACTTCCCTGGGACTTTTCCCTCTGGAATTGAGAAAATAGTGTCTACCTCTCCGGGATATGACTTGGGAGCAATGGCAGCCTCTTTGTCACCATGTGGAGAAAGCCAACTTTCAAGAGGAGAAAATGAAGCTACACAGAGAGACAAGAGGTGGACAGAGAGACTAACTGGCTGAGTTAGTCTCAGCCACTTATTGGGGTGCCCCTAATACCTTGAAACCCTCTGAGGTGTGGGTGTCAGCTCACCTTTTAAGTGAGTCTGTGAGGATCCCCAGTCTCCCACAGCACTTTGTGCACCCAAAGCCCCATCCAGTGTTGAGAGGAGGGAGTGAAGACGAGTTGGATGAGGTGATGTGTAAGCCTCCAGTGTGGCTGCAGTTACTGACATCCCAGCTGCAGAGCCCAAGGAACAACTCCTACTCCGAACCCCTCACAGCCCCCTCATGGGTTCCTCTCATGACATCTCCTCTGCTGAGTGACAGGAACAGCAGTGGGTGGAGGGGAGATGGAGAGTTTGCAGCTGTCGAAATACAAGTGCCGAGAAGTCCCCTCATTCACGCGCGCGTGCGCACACACACACATCAAACTTTTCACAGTAAGTCTGAGACACCCTGGTTCCAGGTCAGCTCCAGCTATGTTTGCATTCCAAACACACAATAACTAATTTTTCTTAATATGAAACTATCCCAATGCCTATCCAAAATACCTGTCTTTGGTTGGAGATACAGGTGGGACTGTGCATTTTTATTTGCTAAATCTGGCTGCCCTGGGTAGCAGACACTATGGGTGCAACTGTAACCCCATCCACCATCTTTTCTTCACGAGTTTCCTCAGATTTCCATGCCTCCTCTGTACATGGGAGGGAGGGGGCAACTCCACCCCCATATTTTAAAACATGAGGGTAACACTTGCCTTAGATCCAAGCTAACCAAAGTAAAATCCCAGAGCCCAGAGCCCTTATCTGGGTCCCAATTCATGCCAATATGACAAAGAAGTGTTTTGAGTGGGTTCTGGCAAATAAGCTCCCCCGTCTCTCTTAATGAATGGGGAGATATGTGATGCAATGGTTAGAGCAGTGGCAGTCATTTTGCCACCATGAGGGATACCAGCCTGAGGACAGAGCCACAGAATAGGCTAACCCTTTGTGACATTTTTGAGTGACTGGATCAAATTGACCTCAGAACTGTCCCTTGCTCAGGACATTCCTGCTGGCCAATAAATCCTCCTTTGCATTCAAGCAAGTGGAGATGAGCTTCCCAGGACTGAGCATATCCCAACTGATATGGGCAGGAGCTGCTGTGCATTCCAGTTCATGCAGGAGGAAACTGGTGATGGCAGAGAGGAGCTTACATGCTCAACACCACGTGGTTGCCTTGTTCATTCCACATTTGCCTGACACCAAAGGCTGTGCATAGAGCCATTTCCCTCGTCACGCAATTTGGGGAAGCCCCTTCCTAAGGGGACACCCAAGACTTCCACACGTTCCAAGCACCTTCACACTCACAATGTTACTTGAAGGAGGCAGGGGAGGCCCTTGTCTTGAGTTTCAGACAAAAAAGCTGAGACTCAGAGAGGTTCAGTAGCACGCACATGGCCACACAGCAAGCAGTGGAGCTGGGATTTGAACACAGCTTGCTGAGCCCTCTCCCAGCTCCAGGCCACCATTTTGGGCTCTGTCCCATCCTCCCTGCCTTCAATCTCTCCCCCCAGTAGCCCCAGGAAGAGCTTTCTAATGCTCCATCCACAACACTCCTGTTAAGGAGGAAGCCAGAGCTGTTCACACTGACCTCCAAGACCTTTCATCCCAACCCTTGCATGCCTCGGGGTCCCCCTACACGGACCCGCAAGGTAACACTAGCCTGTGGCCCTGGGAAGGTACCAGAGAGCTTCCCTGATGTGCTCCACCTCCTTGAGGTGTTCCCACCACCTTTCACCGTCGCTGCTGAGTTTCAGCTTTTGTCCCCCGATATACAAGAATTTAGATCAGGACACCAGCAGAAGGAAAGGCAGACATTTCAAGACTCTGCAGAGGGTGGTAACCCTGAGCTAGGGTCCCAGGTTGCATGCAAAGAGGGATTTGGAATATATGGGGTCAGAACGTAGAAACTGAGATAGGGAGCCAATAGGTGGTTGAGTTTAATTAAAAAATTTTTTTTTTGTCCTGGCCGGTGTGGCTCAGTGGATTGAGCATCGGCCTGTGAGCCAAAGGGTCACTGGTTCGATTTCCAGTCAGGGCACATGCCTGGGTTGCAGGCTGGGCCCCCAGTTGGGGACATGTGAGGAACAACCACACAGTGATGTTTCTCTCCCTCTCTTACTCCTTCCCTTCCCCTCTCTCTAAATAAATAAATAAAATCTTTAAAAATAATAATAAAGCACCTCTTCAAAAAAAAATCCCCAAAGGAGCCTGAATTGGCTATTGATGTCACTTTCTGTTCCCTAAAATTCCTCACACCTGAGAAGATTACCAAAAACAAAAACTCCTCAAAGACTCCCTTAACTATAAAGCCAACTTAATAAGCTTTTCATTAATTTTAAAAATATATTATGATCCT